TGTACATCATTTCTCAAAACATTTTCTCTCCATTTAAACCCCCGACATTAGGTCCTCATTTTTCCCCTCCCTCCCCGCTCCCCCCGGCCTGTCTTCTTATAAGGCACAGGCATTCTTACATAAAGAGATAGGAAAAGAATCGACTTTGGTCTTTTTTAGAATGGCGTTAATTAGCTTTGAAATCACATTGGAAAGCACTTGTGTGTGTTGACTGGGTAAAGCAGGCTCTAAACAGGAAACAACGTGAGCTCCTCACCACCTGAAGTGTATATATGCTCAGAGAGGGAAATCTTGCCTCTGGTTTTCTTACACACACACACACACACACACACACACACACCTTGTACTTGCCTGTGCTTCCTGTTTCACTACAGAGTGCATGTTATATAGTCTGAGCAAAGAAAAACAGTTTTAAGAATAATCACAGGTGGTCTAATGAGTGTTAGGCTACCTGGTAGGCACCACATGAGACCCTAAGGATGCGGATCCACTAGTCCGCAGCCCCTCTCCTTTGTCTGCCTCATGCCCCTTAGCCTCCTACGCCGCCTCACCTTCTCCACCCTCGGCGGTGCACAGCAAGTCACACTGCCCGCCAGCCTTCTGCTGAGCAGAGCGGTGCGCACGGACGCCTCGCCGACCGCAGACGGGGCTCTGGCGCCCCCAGGTGCACCGATAGGGAAATGCGTGTGGATACCCTCGATCGGATTAGCAGTGACAGACTTTTTGCTGACCCAGGAGAAAGAGGGGGACTTCCTCCTCCCTGAAACAGTCTCAGAAACCCACAGGGACAGTTCTACCCTGTCCTAAAGGGTCGCTATGAGTAGGCATCGGCTCGATGGCAGGGAGGGAGTTTTTGGAGACCCTCATGGAAAGGAACGCTGGTAGCGTGCTGGGCTGCCAACAGGTGTTTGGCTGCTAATTCAAGGTCAGCAGTTCAAACCCCACTGGTCTTATCTATGGAAGATAGACGAGGTTGTAGACCCATACAGATCTCCAGTCTCGGGAACCCAAGTCAGAATTGACTGGGTCAGTGGGAAGACCCCAGAAAGGAAGCCTGGGGCGTGCAATGGCTTAGCACTTACCTGCCTGCTAACCGGCAGGTTGGAGCCTGGAATCCACCAGCTTCTCTGGAGAGAAAGGTAGGGCAATCTGGGGACCCAAGAGGGCGGTTCTGCTCAGTTCTACAAGGTTGTTATGGCTCAGAATCTGACTCCATGCCCACTGGGGCCCTCAGGTGGCCTGGCTGGAGGGTAAGGGTTTCCTTGGTTGAAGATGCTCTTCCCAGGAAGGGATATTTTTCCTAGAGCCCCTCATCCAGCCCACGGCAGGTGGGGGTGGGGAGTGGGTTAGGGGTTCCCAGCATGCCCTCCAAGTCTTGTTCCTTCTCATTAGTATTTTAACCAATCTTACTGCCCTACATTTGTAATTGTCTTTTTCCCCTGTGACTTTTCATCGCACTCAACTCCTCTGCTTCACGGACACAAACTTTCAACAAATTTTTGTTGTTTGGGGTGTCGGGGGAGCATGTCATCACAGAGGCAGGCAGGGTCTGCAGCCAGCCGGGACCCTTGGGCTTGTCTGTCATCTGCTAGCTTTGTGACCTTGAGCGAGTGAACGCTGAACCCATATTTCCGGGGGCAAAGGGGACTAAGGTGGTCAGAGAAGACCCTTAAGTGGAACAGCAACACTGCAGACATCAAAGATTAGCTCTAGAGCTCCTCCTCCCACCCCACCCCCAGGCCTCCTCCTTCAGCCTCAGTGGACCTCATGCCCCCAGGTTAGAAGCCCTCCTCCCTCCCCTGCACACCCCTCTGCCTGAGAGTTCCCCCAAGGTGCAGACTGAGTTCCTTGTTCAATTCCCTGTCCCCCAAGCTGAGCCAAGTGTGTGGCAAGAAAGGACATCAAATGCTTGGTTTCAACTGCTTCTGTCCTCCTTTCTCCTGCTGCCCTCTCGCCACCTCTGCCTGCCCGATGGCCCGTCTGAGGTGTCCCCATGCTCTGACCGGGCCACAGGGCATGCCTTCCTACTCCTGCTTAGCCCAGGGCCCAGGAGAACACTGCTCAGAAGAAGGGAGGAGGAAGGAGATGCCCTCACGGCTGAGGGCTTCCCCTCCAAGCCTCTCCCTACCCACAGCCCCGTGAGCAGTGCCCCCATTTGCCTCAACTGCCTGAGGCTTCACCCCTTCCTGCCTCCTCTAGGGCAGGGTGAGGCTGGGCAGTGAGGACAAGGACCACGAGGGCGCAGGTGACCATGTGACTTGTGTGTCTGCCCTTCAGGACACAGAGTGACGCACACCAACAAAAACACCACAGCAGCCAGGGATAGAAACAACTAGTGTATTCATCTGGGGAAGGTGGGAAGGTGCAGATAGGAAACAGGGAGGCCAAGGGGTTCCTTAGTGTTTGCCCCAAACCACTGCCACGCTCCCTCCGTCCCACTCTCCCCTCCCCTCCTCTGGAGTGGGGCCCAGAGGACTGACCTTTTCTAGAAAGCCACCCTCTCTCCAACCCAAACCCCACTTAACCTGGACTTTCTGTGACTGCCCATCCTGGCTCTAACGCTGGCAGAGGGCAGGGTCCAACCAACTCTTCTTCTGCCTCCTACCTCAACCCCATCTCTTGTCTAAATAATACAGGAAAATCAAGCGCAGCAGCTGGGACCTGGGAGAATTACATCACCCCGGGGTTGGGGCGGGGTCTTGGGTGGGGCCGGTGGAGGAGCCCCTGCAGGGATAGTGGAATGGGAGGTGGACCCAGAGGCCTGGCTCAGCCCTCCTCCCTTCCTGCCTCCCTCCCTCCGAGGGGGGGTGGGCTGGGCCTGAAGTTCAGTTCAGGCAGAGAGGATCTCCCCCACCTGCCTCTCAGGCACCATGTCACAGGGTCCCCGGGGTGGGGGCAGCAGCGAGGGCAGAAAAGCAAAAGCTAGACTCTGTCAAAGCACCCTTTCCCCACGGCTCCTCGCGGAAGCCCTCCTTGTTTTTTAGGCAGAGCTGGAGTATGGGGAGCAGCGGAGGGGAAGGAGAGAGAAATCTGGATTTAGATGTACGCCCCTTCCCCCACTTTTTTTTTCTACTTGTGTTTTTTCCTTCAGTATAAAACCACTGTAGAAAATAATTTCTCTTAGAAAAAAAAAAAGAAAATACAGAAGAAAAACAAACAACCAAAGGGGAATTCTTCTTTGGCTTCAAGCCCCCCCCCCATTCATGAAGTTCAGCGTGGGGGGTGGGGTGGGCATGAGGTGAGGCGGAGGAGGCCCCCACCCCAGCCTGCCCTGGCAGGTCCCAAATTACATGATGCTGCAGTTCTGGGCGTTCTGGGAGAGAAAAGAGGTGGGAGGAGCGTGAGGGCCCTGCCAGATCCGGTCTCCTCCCTCCTCTAACCCCCACCTCCACCCCACGCCAGCCCCGCCCTGCCCTCCAGTCTGGGGCGCAGATAGGAGGGCTAGGTTGCCGGGCGCGTTTCTAGTACTAGGGCTGAGGGGAGGGGGCTCCCACTCCCCCGACTGCTGCGGGAGAGAAGGTTCTCCGCCACCCCCACAGCTACCCCCACCCCCGACACACACACACACACACACACACACACACCCTCAGTCTGTGGGGACAAAGGGGATAACTCACCTGGGTTCGGGGACTGGAGTTGCCCAGGAGGTAGGAGCGGGGGCCCAGGCTGTCCCCGAAGCTGCCCCCCCCACTGCCCCCCACACTGCGGTAGCTGCGGGTGACTGTCATACTGGAGGCGGAGGAGCTGGAGGACATGGATCCGCCCACCTGGGCTCCCGCGCCTCCGCTGGCCTTGTCGGCAGCAGGTTGCCCGCAAGTCCCGCACAGCACGGTGCGCGAGCGCAGGTTGTACTCAGCGGGGTCCCCCGAGCCGCTGCAGTGGGAGCCCTGGGGAGGGAGACGAGGCTCAGGCGGGACGGCGAGTCTGGGACTGACCGCTAGCTCAGCCCAGCACCCAGGCTCCGGGCTCCTGCAGGCAGGGAGGTGGGGGCTCTGGGCCCAAGGAACCAGAAGGCAACGGACTGGAGAGGGTTGGGGAGATGTGGGGGGAGGCACAAGACACAGTTCAGGAAGATGTGGGGAAAGGGACCTGACTGGGTGGGGAAGGAGCGGGGTGTAGTTTTGGTTGTTCAGCTATCCGAAGCTTAAGAGGCAGAGGAGAAAGGAGAGGAGCTTGTTGGGACAGCAGGCATACTGGGGGGCAGAGATAAGGGGGCATGCAGGGAAAAGAGGGGAGCCGAGAAGGCCAGCATGCAGCCTCTGGGGAAGAGAGGAGACAGAGAAATGGGGGTGGGTGGGGGAGGCAGCACGGGGTGCCCCCAGTCTGTCCTCCCCTGCCCGTTCCAGGCCCTTGTCCACTGCTCCCATGGGAACACCCCAGGGCACCACAAAGCCCACTCCCTTTCCAACCAGAGGCGGGTGCCCAGATCCCCAGGGTCCCAGTCGGGGTACAGGGAGGAGAGAGAAGTAAGGCCAGAGCAGCGAGTGAAGTTCCAAAATATTCTTTAATGAAAAAATTTTTGGCCTGGGAGGCCCAGGGAGGCTGTCCCCGCCTGGCTGGGTGCCGCGGGGCGGCGGGGCTCGGCCTCAGCGACGGCTGCCACTCACATGATGTTGATGGAGCAGTTCATCGCCATCCTCGTCATCGTCATCGTCGTCCATCACGGTGGTCAACGAACGCACCAGCTTGCGCATGGCCACCTCCTGCGGGAACACGGCACCAGGCCCGAGAGGGTCAGGGTGGCGAGGGGCACGCAGCATGTCTGCCCAGTGACCACCTGGGGACCTTTCTCCTGGTCTACTCTTGTCTACCTGCCGCTTACTCCGCCCTCTGCGGTGTCAGAGGGGCAGGAACACTACCCAGGCCCTCTGGGTAGGTCCCGCCTCTAATAGTCCTCCCTGTCTAACTCCGCCCCTTCGTGCTCCTGGGGTGGGCCTGAATGGGCACCCCTTCCTTGGGCCGGGGGAGCTTCTTGGTGTGGCCACAGGGGGCGCGCGCGGCATACTCACTTCCCCGTTGGAGTTGATGAGCGCCGTGCGCAGGCTGTTCCCGCAGCCCCAGGTGCTCTGTGCCTTCCACACCAAGTCGGTAGGGGGGTTGTGGGTGGCCCCAGCCCCAGAAGCCCAAATCTGAGGATTCAAGAAGGGGAGCTCACTCTTGCACTCCCCTCCTGAGGCCAGCCCGTCCCCACCCAAGGTGGCTCCCTGGCCCTGTCACTCACAGTCACTGCCTGGCCAGCCTTCAGGGTGAACTTGGGTGGGAAGCGGTAGGTCATCAAGGGATCGTCTCCATTTTGGCGTTTGATCTGCCAATTGCCCATGGACTGGTCCTGCCAGGATGAGAACGAGGAGGGCGGTGGGGAGACTCACCCAGGCTCCGGGGTTCATCTGGCTCAAGTGCCCAAGGCAGGCTCTCCCAGGCCTGCACGCAGAGCAGAGCTTACCACTCCCCCAAGCGAGAACAGCTACCACTCGTGGGGCCGGGTACACGGAAAGCATGATCATTTATCTTCCCAACAACTGGGAGTTCAGAACGATTACTTTTGCCCATTGTACAGATGAGGAAACGGATGCCCCGGGGTTAAATAACCGCCCCAAGTCTCCCTGACAGTCAGTAGAAGAGCCAGAGTTGGAACCGGCCGGATCGCCCTGGCCCAGCCTCTGCGTGGAGGGCTAGTCTCTCCAACCGCCACTCCCTCTCCTTTCAGACATTCTCTCCCTTTCACCTAGTTGTGCACCCTTCGGACTACTCGGGGGTTGCGGGGTTGGGGGAACAGCCTACCTCATTGGACTTGTTGCGCAGGCGCACAAACTTGCCCTCCTCATCCACCTCCTCCACCGCCACGCGGCCGCTGGTGCGGGCATGCTGCGAGAAGCTGCTGCGGCTCTCGCTCGCCTCCAGTTTGCGCTTCTTGGTGACGCTGCCGCTGCTCTGCACCTGGGACGAGTGAGTGGAGGACCGGCCTCCTCGGCGCTGCGAGGTGGGACTGGGGGACAGGCGGAGCCTGCCGAGGGGGAGACAGAACAGGGGGCGCCTCGTCAAGGCCCATGGCAGCCAGAGGACCCTCCTGGCAACCCATCGCCCCAGCTCCTCCCCGGCCTACCTCTCCTCCTCGCCCTCCAGCAGCTTGCGGTAGGCGTGGATCTCCATGTCCAGGGCCAGCTTGATGTCCAGCAGCTCCTGGTACTCATCCAGCTGCTGCTGCATCCTTGCCCGCATCTCCGCCATCTCCCTCTCCTTCTCTGCCAGCAGCCGCCGACTGGTGTCCCGTTCCCGAGCCAGGGCATCCTCCAGGTCTCGCAGCTTGGCCTCCTTGGCTGACAGCTGAGCAGGAGGAGGCAGGTTTCTGGTGAGCTCCCAAGGGGCCCCCAAGGGAAAGGGACCCCCCCTACCCTTCCTAGGACCTCCAGGCTTCCATCAGTTCTCATAGGGGCTTGGATAACCCACTGCCATCAGGTCAATCCCAATTCTTAGCAACTCTATATAAGGTTTCTGAGGCTATACGTTTTTACAGCCTCGTCCTTCTCCCTAAGAGCAGTTAGGTGGGTTTGAACCACCAACCCCGTGGTCAGGGACATGGCTAGCGACCAGGAAATCTAACTGCAGCTGCTCACTGCGGGCTAAAGCCGCTTTCCTCCAGTCACCAATGGCAGGGCCAGCTAGAAGACTATTGACACTTCTGCATCCCACCCCTCAGGAAAACCAGCTTCTGTCAAGTCTGGCGGGTGGGGGGGACCGACCCCAAGTGTCAGAACAGGACTGTGCTCACAGGGCTTTTCAAGGACTGAGTGGTCAGAGGTGGGTCACCAGGCCTCTCTCCTGAGGCCCCTCTCAGAAGAGGTGCTCCCATGTTCCAGTCAGCAGCTGAGCGAACTAACCAAATGGTTGGCACTACCCAAGGGTTACCTGCCCTTCCTGGGACTTTTGACTCCTTTGAGTCTCATAGCCGATCTGTGCGTTAAGGAAGGCTTTCATGTAGGACAACCTGGACTCTGGGAAGTGGAGGCCATCAGAGAAGTGGGAGAGTGAGGACAGCAGACAAGCCAGCCACCTGGGCCCTTCTCGCCCCTTCCCTCCTCAGCAGGCCCCTGTGGCCTCCCACCCCACGATACTCAGCCCAGATTCTGGTCAGTGGAGCCGGCCTGGCCGCACCTGTTTCTGCAGCTGGCTAAGCTGAGCCGAGAGGCTGTCGATGCGGATGCGGGACTGCTGCAGCTCCTCGTGGGCAGCCCCCACCAGGTTGCTGTTCCTCTCTGCAGACTGCCTGGCATTATCCAGCTGGAGAGAAGAACAGGGGGTTAGAGGGAAAGGAGAGGGTCTCAGGTTCCATTAGGGCTGCATCCTGAGCTCTCCCCACCCCTACCCCCCCCCCACACTATCATGATCCCAATGCTACCTTATAAATCTGGCTACCTAACCCTAACCCTAACGGTACGGATAACCCCCGCCCCACCCCCACCGCAGGGACTATCCTGGTGTGGGTGGGGTGGCCGGGCTGTGGGGGACAGAGGCGTGAGCAAGCACCTTGGCAGAATAGGTCTTCTCCAGCTCCTTCTTGTACTGCTCCACCTGGTCTTCATGCTGGGAGCGAAGCTCCTGCAGGGCGTCTGCCAGCTTGTTCTCAAACTCTCGCTGCTTCCCGTTATCAAGCTCCACCAGCCGGGTCTCATGGCGGCGCTTGGTCTCACGCAGCTCCTGAGGGGTGGGAGCAAGGTCACAGGAGCAGAGATCAACTTGGGCTCCCCACAGGCTTTCACCTGGAGCTGGGTGCTGGCCACCCCTTCCTCCCACCCACGGACACCAGGGAGGGACTCGGCCAGCAAGCTGTGCACTCAGCTGCTCTCCCGCTGTCGGACCTAGCGCCGACCTCAGGGCCCCACCTCGCTGTAGATGTTCTTCTGGAAGTCCAGTTCCTCCTTCAGGGTCTGCAGCCTGTTCTCAGCGTCCACTCGCCGCAGCATCTCATCCTGAAGTTGCTTCTTGGCCTCACCCAGGGCTGCCTCGAGCTAAGAGAGATGGAGCAGAGGTCAGAGTGCAGAGAGAGCCAGGAGAAGGGCCCAATGGGTCCCAGGAGAGTGAGGGGCTCCGATGCCCAAGGCAAGTCACGACACCCACTCAGTCCACAACCACCACTCTGGGAGGGTCCTGCACTAGGAGAAGAAAGACAAGACTATGACCACCCCTATGGGACCACCCCCTCCTAGCACAAGGCAACTGTCAAGGTCTGTGCCAAGTGCAGAGGGACCACAAGGGACAGAACCACAGTGTGCCTGGGAAGAGGCTAAGAGCCAAAGGATGGATTAGTGGGTCTTGACTTGTAGGAGTATGTGCAAAGGCCCTGGGGTCTGCGGGCACACACTCATGGGTCTTGGGGCCTCCAAGAAGTTCAGTGCTGCTGAAAACTAAAAGCCTAAAGCACCGGTAGAGGGAGCAATGGGAGAGCGGGCAGGACTGGCAGGCAGGGGGCTGCATCACACAGGGATCCCCTGGTGGGCCACGAGTGGAGCCCATGGGGAAGTTTGAGCAGGGGAGCACAGGCTGGTGAGTGCAGCTAGGAGAGGTGGAGCTGGAGGTGAGAGAGCCGGGAGAAGAAGCGCCCAGCCTGCTGCAGCCATCTCCCGGTCTCTCCGAGGAGCCTTATGGCAGTGGGGGGTGGCAGGTAGGCAGGCAGGGGAAGCTGTCAAACTGAAAACAAGCCAGCTTCTCCGCTTTTCTGCTCCCAGCTTGTAACATGAGAAATAGGAGGAGAGAACAGACAGTAAAGTGTTTTGAAGGGAAAAGCCGCCACCAACATGCCAGGCGTTATTAACATGTACCCCCTGTGTACCGAACCGCCAGCTCTGTGGAAGGAAGGCCGGCAACGCCTCTCTTTTCTCGTGGAGAGCCAGGAGCTGTTCATCAGAGGGCTCAGGGCCGGACACAATTCATTAGTTAGATGGCAATGGCCAGAGAGTGTGTTAAATTCACTGTGCCAGATGTAGCCAGAGACAGCCCACGTGGTCTGGGCGGGCAAAGGATGCTACCCAACCCACTGCCACCAGGTCCAAGTCTGCTCTCCTTCCCAGCGACTCTATAGGACAGCACAGAACTGCTCCTTGGGGTTCTGAGGATGCAAATCCTTACGGAAGCAGACAGCCTCATTTTTTGTTCACAGAGCGGCTGGTGGGTTTGAATTGCCAGCCTCTTGGTTAGCAGCCGAGCATTTAACCCACAATGACAGCAAGTCAGGGAGAGGAAGGTGGTCTCACCTTGGCCACCTGCCCTCGCAGGTCATGCAGCTCACCCTCCAGCGTCCGCTTCTCACTGAGGGCAGTGCTTAGCGCGGCCTCCTTGGAGTTGAGCAGAGCCTCCAGGTCCTTGAGGCGGGCCTGGGCCGCCAGCAAGTCTCCCTCCTTTTTGGTGTTGCTGGTGGGAGGGTGGGAAGGGAAGAGTGGTTGTGGGAGGAGCTCATGGCCTCACTGAGAGAAGCTCCTGTGGGGGCTGGCTCTGTGGCGCCCTCCACTGCCAAGAGAGGGCATCCTTGGCTTTGCATCTGCCAACTTCTGGGGCCTGGCTCCCACTGCCCCAGAGGTCCCCCAAACCCTCTCCCAGCAACTCCACCCTTCCCATGACTCAGGGCTCAGGAACGTGCCTAGGGCTAAGGGCAACACTGGGTCCCGTGACAAGAATGCTTTTCCTCTTTCCCCTCTCAGCCTTTCCCAGAGACAGGGGCACCTTTGTCTCCTGCCCCTTCCCACACTGGGCCTAAGGGCTCTTCCCCAGGCTCCACCCACCTTCCATTCAGCCAAGCCTCCCTCCCCTGGGGGACCCAGACAGCCAGGCTCCCAGCACTGGGGTCCCTGGGTCCCTAATACATCTCAGTTTGGGCCCCAAAGCTGTGGGCACTTCAGGCCCTTGTCCACACCTGAAACGGGGTGGGGAGGAAAGTCTGCCCAGAGCCTGGGGGAGCTGCGCTTGTGGTTGACCAGGACAACACTGGCCTGCCTTCCTCAGGGCCCGCCTGGGTTCTCCCATCTGGGAAGAGGGATGTAGGGCTCCCTCCCTCTAGGTCCAAATGCCGCTACCCTCTAATACAGTTCCTCATGTTGTGGTGACCCCCCCCCCCACCCACCATAACATTATTTTTTCCGCTGCTACTTCATAACTGTAACTTTGATACTGTTAAGGGCCGTTCGACCCCCAAAGGGGCCGCGTGACCCACAGGTTGAGAACCACTGCTCTCGGAGCTCCAGGAGCCAGCTGAGCACTGCCCTCCAACCACAAGCCCAACATCTGGCTCCAGAGGTGGTCCAGGCCTCCACCTCCTCGGGGCCCCAGCCTTGAGATGCCGCTGCCTCCTCCGCCCCTCAAACTGGGTAACATTTCGCTAGAACCAGTCCAACAGGGGTTGCCTCTGCACCCTCTGGGTGCCTGCTAATTTCTGCCGGATGCTGAAACGAGGGCCCTGCCTGGGTGGCACCGAAGGTTCTCCACAGCTTGGAGGTTCCAGTCCACCCAGAAGTGACTAGGAAGAAATTCCGGGCCCTCAATAAGAACAGCCATCGAAAACCAGCCCAGTCCTACAGAGCACACTCTTGGGGTCCACTCCACGGCCACTAGCTGGTTACTGGGGTTCTTGAAAGCCTCCTGGGAACCTGTGTTTCTAGCCCTTCGAAAATTCAGAGGGAGGGGTCGGGGGTAGAGGACACTTCAAAAAGTTTGTGGGAAACTTTCTTGGTCTCTTAACTCCATTTTCCCATGAACTTTTTGAAGGCCCCCTGTAGAGGGTGAGCACATGGGGCAGGCCCCAGGGGTGGAGGGGGTAATCCAAGAGGCCTAGTCCCAGATGCCCTCTGTGGTGCCTCAGGCCCGCGGTATGGGCTTGCCACGGCAGATGGGAAACCAGGGGAACCAGGTGTGGGCCGGGATAGGGACAACAAGAGGAAATGCCACCCTGCCAACGTGTTTCTCCTTCCCCTGGAGCCTAAGCTGCAGAAGACTCCACTGTTCACACTGGCACGAGACAGAGCAAGGCTAGACTTGAGGACGTGCTGGAGGGAGGGGAGAGTCACAGGTAGTGCCTCCACCCCCCACCCCCCTTCCAGCTTAGGAGAATCCGCTGGGTCGGGGGACAGAGCTGGAACCCCGAGAGACAGGGGAAGGAGGTGAAGACATGGGCCTCTCAGGCCTCTGGGCACACCTCAGAAGACGCTGTTTAAAACAGCGGTGCGTGTGGCCCGCAAAAAGAGGTCCCCCTAGGGCGGGAGGGTGTCTCTCCCCTCGTCTGTCTCAGCCTGAAAAGCTAAAAATAAAGTCAAAACCCGGTTCAGGTTTTGGCTGCCAGCCGGCCCCAACTTTCCATGACTTCAGAAGCCGAGGCGGCTAGAGGGGAGGAGAGACGGCTAAGAAACGCAATGGTAAAGTGAGGCGCTGCCGCCACCGCCTCACAGACAGCGACTGGCCTCTGAGCTCCTTGGCCTGACTCCAAGGCTGGCAGGGACATCCCAGTCAAGCAAGCGAGCGAGGCCTCCCCGCCCTGAAGGCCGCAGCTGGCCACCACGAGGGAGCCAGCGGGGCAGGCAGGAAGGCCCTGGGCTGCTGGTAGAGTCAGAGAACGATCCTCTGTTCCACTCATCCCCCACCCCCTTCAGATGAGGAAACTGAGGCGCAGAGGGGAAGGTGAATGGCCCAGGGTCGCACAGGGACAGGGTGGCAGCCCATTCTAGCTATTGGCCTAGGATGACTCCATCTCCTCCTCCTCCTCCTCCTCCTCTTCGCCTGCGTCAGTCACAAGGTCTGGAGAGAATGCAGAAGCTGAGAGAGGAGAGAACATGTGTGGCGGCAGCTGTGAGCCACGACAAACAGGAAGGAGCCACAGGGGTTGTTCCAAGAGGACTCAAGGGCATCTTTTCCCTGGTCCTGCCTCCGGGCCTCCTGAGGCACCAAGACAGGCGTTCCTGGAGTTCTCCCCAGTAAAGCTGCCCGGGACAGTGCCAGGCAGGCCCTTACGGAAGAAAGGAGAGGTGGGTCCACCGGGGCACTGAGCCTACAGCTGCCTGGCCCTGCCTCCGGGGCCTCAGCCAGTGGGAAAATAAGCCAGCCCGCTGCCAGGCAGCCTGGCTCCCTGCGACTGAGAGCAGCGCCGGGCTCTGTAGGCTGCTCCGCTGTGGCCTCGGTTAGGGAACCAGATTGCCGGGCCTGGGTTGGTGGCAGCCCTGGGTTGGATGCAAGACTTGCCGTTAGCAGCCATGTGGGTGACCTGTTAGCGGTGGCTGGGCGCCTCATCTGAGACGTTTAGGGTGTTTTCTTGTAGGCTAGCTTCTCCCCGCCCCACTGGTCCCTGAGGCGGGGTCCTGGTGGTGACTCCAATGGACTGCGATGCTGACAGCCGCACACACGTGTGCGTCCCGAGTGAGTATGTGTCTGGTGGGCTTTATCGTATAACTACACATCATGGCGCTAACCTGCTTTCCACCAAGAACGAGGTCTGGGCCCCCCGCTAATAAAGAACGGAGCTGGAGGTCCAGACTGCCCTGCCTCGGTGGCCGCCACCATCTTTGGCCTCCCCACAAGAATTGAAGGGCGTCCCCTGAGGGGGGCCAACGGTTCAAATGTTTGTTTGGCTACTGACCGAGGGGTTAGACCAGTGGTTCTTGACCTCCTTATGCTGCCACCCTTTCATACAGTCCCTCATGTGGTGGTGACCCCCCCAACCATAACATTGTTTTCGTTGCTACTTCATCACTGTCATTTTGCTACTGTTATGAATCGGGCGACCCCTGTGAAAGGGTCATTCGACCCTCAAAAGGGGTTAGAAGCTGGGGTCCACCCAGGGCACCTCAGAAGAAAGGCCTGGCCATCTGCCACCAAAAGAAGAGCCGCCAGAAGCCCCGGGGAGCACCGTTCTTTTCTGACCGCTGGGGACCCTTGTGAGTCAGAGGCTTGGGGTGGCAACTGGCTTCAGAAATGAAGGGCACCTATTTCCTTTCCCTCATCGAGGCTTTGACTAGTGCTCGGGAAGCGAGGGGGGCTCTAGTGGCTTTGTGGTTACCTGTTGGGCCGCGGGAGCAGTTTGTGGTTCTGTGTTGGGCACAGGGGGAGCAGTTTGAAACCACCAGGCGTTCTTCGGGCGAAAGATGAGGCTCTACTCCCGCAAAGTGTGCCCATCTTGGGAAACCCTCAGGGGTGGTTCTCCCGGTGCTGGGGAGTCGGCTGCTACCGCATGGCAGGGAGATCAGTTTGGTTTTGAGTTTAGCAAGTGGAGGACTGAGCCCCACCCTACGGGTGAGGGAAACCACCGGCAGGAGAAAGGAGAACCAGGGCCTTTGAGGTTTTCTCCCTCAAGCCGGGGAGCCCCACTCTGCTCTGAGGGAGCTGTCGCTCTCACCATGGGCTCATGACTCAGACCCAAGGAGCCCTGCGGCCAGGGAGCCACACCACACACACACACACACACACACATCTAGAGACGCTGAGCTTGGCAGAGCCCAGCACCGCTCCAGCCCCCTCCCTAGTCTCTTCCACGGAACAGGACCAGTTCCAGACCCTGCGGCGTCCTCAGACATTGGCCAGCGGCAGGGAACGGGCCTGCACATGCGGGTGGCAAACCTGGGCACGTGCTGCCTGCCATCCCCACTGAGCTGGCAAGGGGGCCGGGGCGCGGCAGGGCAGGCTGGGAACCAGGGGCTTCTCAGGTGACTCATCCTTAGGCAGACAATGCCCAGGCCGGGGTCGGGAAATCCTCTAGTGCTCACAGGGGAGACCCTGGCTTTGCCCATGTCCTGCCTGGGCCAGGGCCATGCCAGTGGGTGTGGCCGGCTCTTTCCTGCGTATCTGCAGGGTCCCCTGAGCCCAGGAGGGGCTCCATGCCCACAGCCTGGTGAGAGGAGATGGGCCGGGCATCCTGTTTGCAGCTATTCCCACAGCTGGCAGATCGGCTCTCCGAGAGGAAAGGACAAGGCAGCCAGGAGAGCCGGGCTGGCAGGTGTGGCTGAGGGTCTGTAAGGATGGGAAGCCACTCCCAACAAGGCAGGCCAGGATTCTCAGGCACCCAGCTCAGCAAAGGGGCTGGATGGGCATCAGGCCAGGCACTGACCCACCCGCTGAGTCACCCTCCTCAGCCCAACTCAGATGCCAGATATGGAAGCCAGGGCAGGCCGCAGGGCTGTTTGGTCACTGGTTGCTGGGAGCAACATGTGAGGCCCAGCGGGAGAGGGCCCTGTTTCCTCTGTCAGGCCAAGGGAGGGACAGGGAGTTAGAAATATCCAGCTGGGGCTAAAAATAAGGAGGAGGAGGGACCAAGGGGTAGGGGTGGAGGATGGAAGCCTTCTCCTCGCTTGCAGGGTCTCCCTCAGAGCCACTGCAGCCCCCTGACAACACTGGCCCAGGGGCCCTCCAGGTTCTCCAAGCTGGGTGGAGACCCCAGG